TAAACTGGGGTTTGGTTTAGCATGTCATCTGAACTGGGACTCCCTACAGCTCATGCTTAAGCAGGAGCAAGTTAGCCATGAGGCCCAGTTCCGATGACAAGCTGTGCTAACCTTTATTTACCTTCGTTTAGTGTGATACAGTAGTAAAAGGAACAAAGTGGCTGGGGAGCAAAGTAACTGTGAGCTCCTTCCAAAGAGCTCCTATATTGGTGAGGTCTTGCTAAGCCATAATTTGCCTTAATGGGTCTTGTGAACCAGGACTGTGTGTGTAGAGGGAGACCTGCTTGGTTTGCACAGTGTATTAGCAGCAGTTTTATTATTTGCTGTATTATTTGCGTTTCCACTTGAAAATTATCTGTAACTTCCCATTACTGGATTTTATTTTTGACCACAGGGCTTTAAATTACCTACCATATTTTTGAACATTATAATTTATTTCAACTATGCTTCTGCAGCTGCTTTTGTTCCTATCTATTTGACTTGCCAAGTATCTGACTAGCCATCTAGATAGAATGCCAAATGTTTTTATAATCTTTTGAATTTGTCAGAAGTTTATCCGCACATGCACTTACAAACACGGTGCTACAATTGTACAAGTGTCTCTTGGATTTATTTATTTATAAGCTCAAAATGTGAGAAGCAGTTCGTTTAGGAACATTTAAAATTTATTTACAGTTTAATACAAAATAAACATTGCCTTATAAACAATCTGTAGCTCACAGAAGTAAATAAATAGTAGGTAGCAAGTCTGGCATATTGCAAGCATGTGCTCCTGCTTGTGATGTCAGGGAAAAAAGCTACAAAAACTGGACTGGAGCCCAAGGTCAATTCATGGAAGAAAAGCTTCTCCCTCTACTGTCCACCTCCTGAAAAACCATTCTGGAGGTTGGTGGGGCATCCTGAACAATGTAGGACAGGAGGCACTTGGGAATTTGGTGAATCCCAAAAGTGGTTTGTAAGATGATAGTTTTACAGGTTGTTAAAGACACCATTGATTTCTGAAGTTTTTCCAGGATTCTGTCATCTGGACGATGAAAAGGGGTGACCTTTGGTATGCCCCCAGTTCTTGGGGGAACTCATGCTCCATGATTAGAAAGGCAAAGTGTTCAGAGGGCTCAACTGGTACAGAATTATCAGACGTTTAGCTAGATTTTACTCGGTCCACTGGGAACCAAAGTAGGGCAACTTGCTGGAATCCGGACGGCTCATTTATTACAATAGTCTTGCATAGCAGAGTCTAGGCACTACAGTTGTCTAATGCTGGGACGTGGTGCCCTACAAAAGTTGCAGACTTCAACTCCTACCAACCTAGCGCTGATGGGAGCTGTAGTCCACAACATCTCATTGGCTACTCCTAGTTTAACGAAATCAGCTGTGCCTGCTGCTCTCAGAGACCCATAAGCCGCTACCTCCCTGCTGTTTACAGGGTTGTCAAGCTTGCTTCTGCCATGTGAACATGAGCATCTGATGCTACCAAAGTGTTAAGAAGAAAAGCATGTTCAAGAGTGGCTCCCATGCTATTATAATAATGTCAGAAGCAGAGGCTTACTTTAGTCCCCTAAAAGCCATGGGATTAAAAATACCCTTTGCACTGGATTGCTGATTTAACTGTTAGTGGTCTAGACAGTGTAGAATGCTCTGGAAATGATTGTGCTTTCAGAATGAATATGTGTGTGTGTTATGAAAGTGACTGAAGGGCTTATAGATGTATATCAATAAGCACTTAAGAGGTATAACATGAGAAGCAAAGTAAGAGAGCTTTTAGTACCAACTCTATTTTAAAAATGCAGTTTAGTGATGTATATTTTCCAAAATACATCATTTTCTCTATATCTTTCTATTCCTACACACATCCACTGTGTAATCATTTCCAGGAAATGGTTTTATTCTGTCTCTGAACTTTTCCAGTCCCCTTTTCTTTCCCCTAGTAAACATGACCCTTTGTTCAGTTGTCTAAATATAAATAAAGGAAACATCACTGCAGTTTGTACATTTGAAAAGATGAGTTTTATCAACTTCTTTCCATGGTGACATATCAAAAATCCAAGCTTATGCGGGAGGGGAAGGAAAGGATTTTATTTCATTTGAAACATACCAAGCAACATTATTTTTTATATATAGCTGGAGTCACAAAAGGGCAGGATCCAAATAAGTGTGTGCGCTTGCTTGCTTGCTTGCTTGCTCTAATTTAATAATTAGGACCTGTTATTTTGACCACTACCCCCTTCCAGTAATTAGCAATGTTACTTTTTGAATGGCAGAACTCAGTCCAAGTTACAAAAGGATGGAAGAATACAGAACAACACAGTCATTAGGCACTCCACTTAAGTGGGGAAAGCAATAAAGGTTTAATATTTTAGATTGCATAAAATCTAGAATTACTCATTCTTTACACAGTCACTTTCCTCTCCCATTTAGTTGTTTGTTCCATTTGTTGATACCGTCACTGACTGCAATGTTTCTCTCCCCACCCCGCCCCCCCAGTACACAAGCATTAGCTGCAGAGGTGGTCCTCCTCTGCCTGTACAAGTAAACGTAGATGTTTATGCCAAAATAAATCTGTTCATCTGTAAAGTGTTTGTTGTTTTGCTCCGAAAGACTAAAGAGGCTACCCTTCTGCGATTTTGTCTCTATTGCTAACACCATCCATTTGATCTCCAAATGAAAACTTCTTTGCCACTTGCCCCATGTATCGCAATCTTCTTTATATTTTTGTGCACTAATTTCAAATAAAGCAGCTCTGCTGTATGGAGACAGCATCATTGGGCTTCGCATAAGGGGAGAACCTTTCGAGAGAAACTTAAAAATCCCCCAAATACAAGAGCGAAGAACAAAAGTGGAGCTAACAATAGTAAATATGGCCAGACCTTCATAATTTGTAGCTAACAACCACTGCAAGATCAATAACAATAATACAGATTTGCGTATTTCTCACATTTTCTTCCTCTGTACTTCAGTAAGCAGTGATCCAGCAGGACAGCAAGAATTGCACACAAGAAACACAACCCGCATTGCCTCTTCTAGGGAATCAATTATCTCATGTTGAATTGGGTTTCCTGGGTACTTTTAAATTTCATTAGAATAAACATCTTTCCATGGCGGTAGAAAGAAAAGGGCAGCATATCATGAAAGCCTCCCCCCCCCAAAAAAGAGAGAGAATATATTGCTTGTAATACTGTGCCATTTTGTCATAATTGTACAAACCTCTGTAAATAAGAATTTTACTTGCTGGCAGAGACCTGCTATGCTAGCTTAATGGCAGGAGGGTCATTATTGCTTATCAGGAGGTTGAAAGGGGCAGCAGGGAGGTTGGCATGTTGCAGATGCTCTGGAAGGAGCACCAGAGTAGCTCTGGCTGGTGTGTTTGCACCATGCTGACCTCCCTGCTGCCTTGCCCCTCTCACTATGCAACAACAACCTGCCTATTGAGAAGCTAGCATAGCAGCTCCACCCTATCTTGGTGAGCCACTTCTGCCTAAATAGTATATTTAATAGTACCTCGGAAGCCGGACAGAATCTGTTCCAGAAGTCCGTTCGACTTCTGAAACGTTCGAAAACCGAAGTGTGGCTTCTGATGGGCTGCAGGAAGCTCCTGCAGCCCATTGGAAGCTGTGGAAGCTCCTTCGGACGTTTGGTTTCCAAAAGAACATTCGAAAACCGGAACACTCACTTCCGGTTTCCAATTGTTTGGGAGCTGGAACATTCGACTCCCAAGGAGTATGGGAGCCGAGGTACAATTGTATTTCTCTAGAGATATTTAGAATTCCTCCCCCTCCCACCCCGGTCCACCCCCAGTATACATCTAGATATACCTGATGCTAACTTTTTATTAGCAGGATGATATCAGAGGCTTATAATCTGTCATTAATATACCTTCTGGATGCTATGGAGAAGAGGACTATGGTGACCATGTTTCAATAGGATTAAAGCTTCTATCTACAACAGTTTCTACAGATTTACTTTCCCCCAGCAGTTTGTTGTAGTTATGGGAAAGTCTACAGTTGGGGAATGCTGCCCTTCTTCGTAACATCTAAACGGGCAGAATCCTAATCTTGGAACATGGTCACCTCCAAAGAGACCCCAATAATAATGTGTCTGTTTCTGGAGGGTAGGAGCAGAGAGGGCCTCATAGACAAGTTCCTCTCCTAGCACAAAGACTTCAGAGTTTCAAAAACCATATACAGTGGTACCTCGGGTTACATACGCTTCAGGTTACAGACTCCGCTAACCCAGAAACAGTGCTTCAAGTTAAGAACTTTGCTTCAGGATGAGAACAGAAATTGTGCTCCGGTGGCGTGGCAGCAGCAGGAGGCCCCATTAGCTAAAGTGGTGCTTCAAGTTAAGAACAGTTTCAGGTTAAGAACGGACCTCCGGAACGAATTAAGTACTTAACCCAAGGTACCACGTTATATCTTACATCAGGGTTGGGTATCCTTTTTTTGCGCAAGGACCACGCTCACCCTCGGTCAACCTTCCAGGGCCCACATACCAGAGATGGGTTTGACCACTTCATGTGCATGTAGCCACACAGACAGATAGCCTTCTCCCACTGATCTGTCATTTGGAAGGGGTGATGTGCATCCTTATCAGGGCTGAATAGAGAAGTTTAAACCTCTCTGTCCACCAGAACACTATGACTATTATTTTATTTTATTTTTTCTTTGGGGGGACAAGGTAAATTTGCTTGTGGGGAGGCACACCAGCCAACCAGGTTGTAGGTTTGCCACCTCTGAATAAATCTCAAATGAAATATGACTCACCAAACACCCTCCTAGGAAGTAAGAGTTCCACTTAACAGGATGGGCCTTACTTCAGAGAAAACTTGCATAATAGTGTGCTGCTATCATTTTTTAATTTCTTTTCCTGCTGCTATCATTTTTTTATTTCCTAACATACTGATAAAATGCATCCTAATTTACTATGGATATGTATAAAAGATATATAATGCATTTTCCAATCTCTGAATTATTATTATTATTTGCTTCATAAAGTTCACTTACCAGAATGAAGAGGCAACTAGTGGCAAGCCAGGTATGTTCAGGGATAGTAGAAAACACTGATAAAATCAAGCAACCGAAGACAAGGAGAAAACTGAAAAACAAAAGAATGTAAAAATTAGCAAGGACCATTGGAGTGAAAATAAACTATAAAAATATTTTTTCCTAAATTTTTGAAGTTTAAAATAAGGGGTTGTCTTATACACGGATAGTGCATAGTGCATTTTCTTAATTTTGAGGCCCAAAAAATAGTGGGTGTCTTATACACGGAAAAATACAGTAATTACGTCTCCATTAGAGCAGGGTGCTGGTGCCAGCATGGGCAGCTTTAAATCCCCCAGGAGCAGACCTGTTCCCAGCCCTCCACGCCAGACTGTCATTGTAGGCTGGGGCAGAGGTGAATTTCAAGCTGGAAACGTGAGCAGAAGCTCGCACTCTGGCCGGGGATAGCCCCGACACCCAGCTCTCGAGCATCAGCAAGGACCATTTGCCAGACCTGTTCTCTCTGCTGTCCCCTGAGTCCAAGAAAGGAAAAACAGACACTTGGAAAACTGACAATACAAAAAGGGGCAAAAAGACACAGATACAATGCCCCTTTTCAACCTGACGGCCCATTTCCTCTATCTACGCAGGCATAGTTGCCACAAAATACCCAGATAGGGGCTGGTACCTTTTCAATTATTTGAGGGTCATTCTGAGAATACAAACCATGGCTGCAGATACAGCTGCCATGGAATAAGGTGTTAGGTTCTCTAATAACCCTCACACCAGGTAGGATCCAAAGAACAAGGGTATGTGGCTGGAATTGGTGGGGCCCAACATCAGAAACAGGCCTGAGCCAGCAAAACCAGGAAAACCCATCCCTGGAAGTAATTATTTCTATAGGGTGCGCTGGGAATTCAGTCAGGGTGCATGTCACAGGTGAGTTCTCGTTTGAGTGTAAGTGGTGCCTAGGGTTCTACGCCTACACATCGTGCAACAGGAGCCACACACCCTTTCATGGCTCCAGGGACTTTGGCCCTGGAGCCCCACAAAAAGATGCTTGTTCCTACAGCCCCAATGCTAGTCATTTCTATGAATATAACAACATGACCTTAGGAGCTGAGATCTCATGAAAGCAAGGAGCATTCACGTAAATAAGGGTCAGTAAGATGGGTGTGTCTAAATATCTTAAGAACAGACTAAATGTATTTTTTTATAATAACACACACAACAACACCACAATTGTGGCAACTGTGTCTTTTCCCTTTAACTGAGCTTTACAGGAAGGGCTGAACTCCCGAGAACATTAAACTGTTTGAAAATCAGGTACTTTGCTACTGCTACAATTCAACATTTATGAGTATTTTGCTTTCACTTTGTTAGCCTTTATTGTATGATTTAATGTGCTTTGCATTTTCCAGCTCATTAATATTGTCCTTGATCCAAAAAACTGTACTACTTGTTTGGTACACCCAAGGGAGCTTTCGATTTATATTTTCAAACAGCAGAGGCAACTCCCAGACATATTTCTATGTGGCAACTGCAGTTTTGAACAGCGGGGTCTGCTGTTAAAGGGGGGAAGTATAAAACCCTACTTTGTATGTCTAAATCCTCTTTGGCTCTCAGCCATGAAGGGTGAGTATCAGAATTGAAATGGGAAATAGCACAAACAGCTACCAACAGAGATATAGGCACAAGGACCCAAACTGTACAACAAACATCTGTCTTTATTATCTACTCAGGTAACAATATTACAGGGCCAACTAACATCAATAAAAACATCAAGGGGTCATTCACCAGCTTATCTTCTGCTGTGAAGCATGCCACCATCTTCCAGAAATGGCACACTGCATTTTTACATAGGGCAAATAGAGGAATAAATGGGGTTTGCAGTTCCTAGGATGCCATTGCAGAACACTGTTTAACCTCCAAGGAAGCCATTTCTCAAGGTTTGTGGATCCTTAGGGAATAAGGGCCCTCAAGGAGATGAAAGGCCCTCATAGTCAGGATGGGGGTGAGGCAAGCATTATGATGGGAGGGGCAGAACCGAGTTAGCTGTGATGCAAATGGTCAGTTAGTTAAGTATTTCTATTTATTTACTTGATTTAGGGGTGGGCAGCTGCTCCTCCCCTGCACCCCCTGGCTATGCCCATGAACGCCCTCAGAAGAGTTTCAACAGAATCTGAGACTTAACACCACTGTCCAGTCTAAAGATGTTTGGATTATCATCCATGCTGTTATTTTAGGCATCTACTTTCTGGACAGCGTGCTAAAGTTATGACATACTTTGAACCAATGAAGGCCTTGATTGGATTTAAAACTGGAGTTAAAATATTTATTTGAATAACTAGATACTTTCACTAAAGGGTAAAAAAGAAAAAGCGAAAGAACAAACAAAAGATTGGAGGACAATAGCCTATTAAGGCAACCTAAACCGTGTGTGTGCTTGTGTGTTTTAAATAGCTGACTCTAGACCCAAATCCTGGCCAAATTTCCATGATGCTAGTGACTTAACTGCCTTTGGATACATGAGCCAAGAGTCTTTGCATATCTGGATACTGAAAACAAAACCAGTTCTTTTTCATGAATTGAACACAAATCCTACGTCAACAAGATCCAGATTATTATTATTTTTTTAAAAAAGTTGACTGCTAATAAGATTGAATAAAAAGAATCAAGAACCCACACTGCACTGACCGGGCTCAAGGCTTTCATTTGCTGACCTGGGGCTCATGTGAGAGGAATGGGATAAAAATTTAATAAAACTTTATTTATTTATTTATTTACTATTTGTCCCCCACCCATGTTAATTTGCAGACATGTCCAGCACTTTCAAGCTCCTTTTCTGAAACAGTTTTATTTCACTAGTAGAGCCAGCAGCCACCAAACCTTCTTAATTTTGGTATTTCCTTTTGGTAGACAGTTTAAAGCAGTACAGTAATTTGTAATAATGTCACATTTTATCATGCCAGGTATAATTTTGGACTGGAACCAATAAAAAACAAAAACAAACCTCTCAGTAATCCATTACAGCCAAATGCAATCACAATAACAGTTGGTTGGAAAAGCTAGTGTAATTTTAAAATAAATGACTGGATATGAAGAAAAAGGGATGAACATCCGTAAATCATGAAAGCTCTTGTCATATTACTGAAAGAGCATGGTGACATCTCATGTGCTGCTAACAATAATATGAATTCTTTTTATTTCACTAAAATCGCTGTTTGACGTTAGCTTTGGCTGCTGTTTCCTGTTCAGCAGAACCTTGTTGAGAGCATGCACTGTGAAAGAGAAAATCTGAAAAGGACACAGGAAACAGGGTGGGAAAAAAGCACTTTCCACTGTTAATAAAATGGTGTTCTCAGAAGTTACAAATTATTGCTGCCCATAGTTAAAGCTATTTTCCAGTCAATCATTTTTAAGTCTTGTGCAGAACAAAAGGGGATGTGTTTCTTCTAATATCCCAGGGATGGATTCTACAAGATGCTTTTATTGGACATGAAGAAAGTTGGAGAGTCCTTCCTAACCCAAACTCTTCTCTAGGGCCCAATGATCCTGCAACATTCCTTTATAAACAGATTCTGAACTATGGCCTCATTTTATGAACTTTCATTTCTGAAATATAATGTAATTATTGCATTGTAGGGACTGGTTTAGCTGTGATCTCTGCACTGCAGGGGCAAGCCTAGATTACTCTTCCAACTCTTTATGAGGATATGGTTTGGGTCAAACCATACTTTCCTGCATTTCAGTTAATTCATCATAATATGGAATTGAATATTGATGCTGTAAGTGCTTTGTCCAGACCCTGGACATACAGTGATACCTCGGGTTAAGAACTTAATTCATTCTGGAGGTCCGTTCTTAACCTGAAACTCTTCTTAACCTGAGGTACCACTTTAGCTAATGGGGCCTCCCGCTGCTGCTGCGCGGTTTCTGTTCTCACCCTGAAGCAAAGTTCTTAACCCAAGGTACCATTTCTGGGTTAGCGGAGTCTGTAACCTGAAGCGTCTGTAACCTGAGGTACCACTGCAATGGGCTTTTATGACCCCTCCTTTAGATAGCCATGTGTCAAGCGCACCACCTTTCCCCTGCCATTGAGGGGAATGGAGCTGTGCAACGTCAGCACACACACACACACCCTGCAGTGTGTGCACAGCCCCCCATTCACTCCCAAAATCTGCTTTAGAAGGCTCCCTCCAGATCAGATTTGGGGAGCACATGGAAGGCTGCAGGAGGGAGAAAAAGTAAGGCACCATTGGTTATCACCCATCATACTGTTACATTACGTCCCAAACAAAACACCAAAAATATGTTTTGTTACCTATTATGTATTCCAGTGATTTATGTTGAGATATAACATATTAAATAATATTAATATATTTTTAAAAATAGATATTGCAATTATCCCTGCCAAATGCATTTCTTTTATAATGCAGTATGCTTATGAAGAGAAGCAGTATCAGTGTTTTCTTTTTTAATGATAAAGATTCTAAACCAAAAGCGAATTACAATATGAAAGTAGAGTTACAGGGTCTATTAAAAGTATGTACAATGGTACAGCACAGAGCAGGTCAACACAGACAACTGTTTTGAAAGTATCCGGCATGTAAGCCAGTGTTTTGTAAGTATAGCTTTTTAGGAATGAATACTGGAAAAATAAGTATATTACAGGCTGAAGCATTAATATTCATGTTTTGACACTGTGTTTGACAATTATAGTGGAGATTAATGTTTGGATTTAGAAACAGGGTGGAGATGTTTGCCCTTGTCCTATTCTTCCTCATTTTAAAGTTCTAGGAAAACAATAGATAAGCAGGTTTAAACTCTATAAAAGGAAAGAAATGCAACTACCAAAGCAAGCTGCCCAGACAAGGAAGGGTTTTCGAAGACCATTCAGAACATCAAAAACCCAAGACATAAAGCATTGGGTGAATTAATGGCGTTTGCAGTACTGAACCTTAGCTATGCACAAGGCTGTCCATGTTTGGGGTCCCTTGTGGTAGAAACTTGAACTTGCTCTTTTATTTATTTAGTTTAGTGAGCCACCCAGCCCACAAATTCACTTTTTGTTTCTAAATGTTCTGCTGATTTTACCTTATGTATACTTGG